ATCGATGTAATAGTTGTCAAGTTGGATTTCTATCCGATGGCTCAATGCCAGTCGTCTAAGCGGAAAATAATTCGATGACAGATAGGCCTAAAATAACGCTACAGTCTCTCCGGATGGAAAACGTACCACGCCATATAAAACTCGGTCCCCCAGCAATTTCGGCTGCAGCTACTCTGACGACTGAGAATAGAAAACCTCTGTGAAATAGGCGATGCACGAGGGAACATCGTTACTCAAATTACTACTATAAAAAAATAAATTGGCTCAGAATCTGGATCAATCACTTTTTTTTTCTCCAAAAAAGTTAGAAACATTATAATACCACATAATACCGTATTGGTTGCTAAGCGACGTGACAGTTATTTGCATAATTTTTGGAGGTCACATCAACAAAATCTGTTATTGTAAATATTCAACAGGTACAGATAAGCGTCATAATTAAGCCAAGGTTAATGTTAATTTTCGTTTCGATGACGTCACGGTATGTTTATAAATAAATGTGACAAGATTGAATAAGCTATTGAACAAACAATACAGATCGTTATCAGGCCAGGTAATCATGGGCTAATCATAGGAATAAATGCTTTTCCTAACGGTTGGTACCCGCAAACGATCCCACGTGTGCTTTTTGAGATTATGCTAGCTTAACTATAGGCTAGGATAGCAGATGCAGAAAACCCCTATATGAAATTACTTTATCATTATATCCGTTATTAATATTAAATTGGTATTATTTTCATTGACCTACATAGATTCATGGAAAAGGCCTATAAATGAATGTTGTTGTGATTTTGTTATGATAACAGATAACCAAGACTTCCTTCAGAATTACCGTAATAGGGGTAGGCCTCATTACCGGTATCAAGAACCCAATTTGAATGGAATCGTTTTCCTCCTATCGCTCCTAATGGTTTTAATACTGGTAACTTAACCTGGATTAGAAATATATATCTTCCATGATTAAGTTCAAGTTCAATTTATTTAAATCAAATATGCAAAAAACATAATGTATGTATGGCAAGTATAAACTCGTAAAAAATGTTCCTCTACATAAAATATATATAAAAATAGACTTTAATTAATTATTAGCATTGTTTTTTCCGTATGGAATCAAAATCACCAACTTCTTGGCTTGTGATTGTCATCGATGGACATAAAAAAACCAAATTGTATTCCTCAAGATTTTAATGAAAATAAAAACGGCGTCCCGGCTGCCTTCGTCCTTGCCCTGATAGTTGTGTAAATATATACGTCTGAAAGCGTATTATACAAATGTGCCCTGTACTGTAACATTTTTCCAATATCACCGTCGCAACTTGATAATTATTTTCGTAAAGGTGATGCTCGCATTCGCCTTATCACATCTGTATTTATAGTGCATTTTTGATAACCGTGAACATGCAATTTTATATTTTATTTTTGTTTTTATCACACATTTGGATCTACATTAATTGGTCATGGAGCAATAAAGTAATTAAATCGTTAATTGTGATTGGAGTAACCTAAAATAACGTCCACGATATGCTTGCATTTTAAGATGTGAATTTGACGAAACAGCATTAGGCCTAGGCCTAGATTTTGTTTTAATGGGTCCCTGTTTCTGAACTAACTGGGGTGTAATTCATAGGAGAGAATTATATTGGCTTAAACACTGAAACATATAAAATTATGTAAGTGTGACAGTTTTGAAAGATGTGATGGTTTGTTTTTATAACCATCGTCTATTTATAATACTGTTGGAATTTAAGAGCGCCTGGTCCGTAATCTTGGGTTCTGAAAAAGAATGTCGGCAAAGCAAAATGGATTATTGGGTTTTAATTGGGCGGTGTATATACTGTCTCTTATACACATCTAGATGTGTATAAGAGACAGAAAGGAACATCGTATCGTACTGTCCCCTCTTACACACATAGGACTGTACACATACACCGTTTGACCGTTTGTACACTAATACCAAGGAGGTATAAAATGTTTATACCTCCTTGCTAATACCGTGTAACCGCTTGATTTCAATTAGCCGCCGTTATTTACGACATGTCTGGTTTCTTTGGGTTGTTACCATTTTCCTCGGTCGCTTGGAAATAAATATAACTTAATGATACAGAATAGGGACAATAATGTAGGCCCCTAGATGTCGCAATGCTTTGATCTGCCGTAGCTCTTCTAAGCACTTATCTGTGAGCTTAAAATTCACTCAACTTTTTACGACTATATAATTTACATTTCGAAATTCTCAAGTAAAGCGCGGAACTTGTCACGCGGCAACTGAGCAGCTAACAAAAAGACACTCATTGAAATCTAAGGCTTGATAATCGTATTAAAGCCAGAGCAAGCTTTGAGAATAGCCACCTTCGCAAGTCGGCGGTGGATTGATCGTGCTTGTTTAGGCCCTCGTATCAGTTACCGTATTGGCGGCTTTTAGGCCACCGGTCGACCTAATAATTAGGCCTACCCTGTGCAAATTTTGAAAATTCGTATCACGTTGTGATTCCCTATTATATACCATTGCCACCAGAAAACCTACATAATTGTTTTGTCATAACATTTCCAATGTACTTTTTAATGAAATTTTACTAGTATACTCTGTATTGCGCGGATTTCCTTTCATACGTCACAGATAAACTATGGAAGTTGAAAATCGAAGCCGCAGACTACATAGGTCTATTCAAATTTGCGGTAAAGACGGTACGAGAGACATTTACGAATTTACGCACTCTGATGCGTTAAGATTGTGAACTGCGTCACGTGACGTCATCAGCAGACCAATCCGCGTCAAACTCTGTAATCAAAAATAATAAGTCTAGATTTATTAGTTTTTCGCCTGCGCACATATCCGTCTCGCAGTTTTCCGATATTTTTTTTTCTGAGGACCAATGCCAGACAGCCAATGATTTGACATAGATCATCCTAATTGCCAATCTAACAAATCTAAATTTAGATAATTTGTCACAATAAAAGATATGCCAAAGTTGTATTTTATTCGATCGGGTAATTTACGATGGTGGTGTATTTTATAGTGATAGACCATTATTTAAATTATATCATCATTATGTCACCTTGTCAGTTTCAAAAAATTAAGTGTATTTCCATGTAGATTTTAGTTTTCACAGTTCTTATTGTAACGACATCGACGTCGCCATACCGCCATACTAAATAGTTGCAAAACCCTGTGCTGTATAATAACAGTTCAATCAAATGTAGATACCATTCCAATGTTGTATTTTAGGCTTCTAACTGTTACCTTACTGGCATAGGTTTTGCACAGCAAATTGTTTATTTTTGGGTATTTTTTTTAAATGTTCATATTGGCCTTGACCAATAAAACCCCCCACATGCACACAGGGTTACATACGCTTTGGCAGAATACCAAACCCTCATTACTTTTTCAGCCTGAATAGGGTAAAGACGTTTTTATTTTTGTTTTTAATTTTTTGTTTTTTTTGACAGAGCTTAATGATAAGACTTACGGTACTAGTTCAATACACGTAGGCCTACAAAAATAATGTTGAATGACTGATGATGGTGGTAATGGTGATGTAGCGTGATATTTACAATTAGGTCTATGCCTACGAAGATATCTTAACGAAAAATCTGGTAATTACACTTTTTTTATAAGAACACCTTCTATAAGAACACTGAGGCTGAAATTACTTTAAAAATAAGTACAAACTGAGGCTGAATAAAATGATGTTTTAATTTTCAAAAAACAAAAAAAGCAAACAAATCTTATCCGTACCTTAGCAGTAGTTGTGACTATATATAATAATAATACAATAATAATAATTGTCAATTTATATAGCGCATAATGTAAAATATACCTCTATGCGCTTTACAGTATGGTGTGGGAAAAATTATTAAAAGTTTCACTTATAACAAAAATAATGAGTAACAATCATGAACAACAACAAAAAATAAATATATAATGTTAATAATTAAATAATTTAAAAATACAGAATTTTATTTACTTTAAAAAAAATAATTGTTAGATATTTATTTCCTTAGTCGTATTACCTTACTTACATTTTACTCTTTTTTCCATGTCTTTTTCCCTTGTCGACCTGTCTCTCTTTTCCTTTACTTCTCTGTAATTTCTTTCTTTACCTTTTCTTCCCTACTCCCTTTTCCTCCTTTCATTTTTCTACCTCTTTTCACGTTTTTCCTTTCCTCTACCTTTTCTTACATTATATTTTCCTTTTCTTTCACTTCCATAATTCTTATTCTTTCCTTTCTCTTTCTTTGCCATTTCCTTTCTTTTTCTTTCATTACGGTACTATGTAATACATTCTATAATACAGTAAAGTAACATATTGCTGTACAATAATATTTTTCTATATTTGAAGAGTGTGTAAATATAAGAACAATATAAGAATATTTTGAGCCTGAAATCGGCAAAAAAATAAGAAAACTGAGCCTGGGAAAGTTTTACTGGTTCATATAAAAAAAGAAAGAAAGTGTATTGCTATATTGTAGCATACCTTTGTTTCTCGCTGTTCTTGCATCCCATACGACTATAGATGCCAATTTTTACAACTTAGTCCTTATAGTTACGACGACCTTCTCAAAAAGTACTAAACCTTAGCAGCCTTTGTTGACTGTTTATCCAAATTTAACAATAAGCTAGGCAGTTTTTAAACATCAATAAAAATATATATAATTATGTAATAATATAAACAACTATAATTTCATTTTATTTATTGTATTTAAAAATGTAATATTCCTGTAAACGGTTGGTTAATTATGTTAATTTTAATGTGATTTTTTAGAAAATGCTAAATGTAAAGATAGGACTCAGTACCATCGCATCCGTTATCACGCTCGTGACATTGAGGTAGGCCTACTCTCTGTTCGATTCATTATTTTCGGAAACTATCCTCCTCTAAACCGTGTTTAAACTAAACGAGTGGCAGTTTGTATAATAATGTAGTTGTTGGAGCCGTCCCAGATGCACATGTAAACCTAACTTGGTCCACCTGCTTCGAGATAATGACAAGCAAGAGAGTGAGTGAGGGGCGGGTCTTTGTACATCAATCATCCCGCCTAGCCAAATGACATGGCCTTGACCATAGCAGGCAATTTCGATTACACAACGAGAAATCTATCTGCGCTATAAAATCAGACAGTTCTCGATGAGAAATCATTTCAGCCCTCTATCCTCTAGTCCTGTCCGCTATTGTCGTCAGCTGATTGTCTATTGCCGCCGAGACAAGTTGTATATAACGGCACTGGCTAGGCCCCTCTTTGATCTGAAACTTGCTACGACACTCGTCACCGACACTTAAGTCGGTATACTGGATATTTCAGAAATTCTATAGTAATCGGTGAGTGATTTTTTGTTTTGTTTTCTCTAATTAAAAAAATAAATTAACCATTGCTGGTTGTGGTTTGGATATCATTATTAACAATAATAATACTATAGAACT